GCTATTGTTATGATGAAGGAATTGGAGTTGAAAAGGATGAATATAAGGCATTTGAATATTATCGAAAATCAGCCGAGATGGGTAATTCATTGGGAATATATAATGTTGGCTGTTGTTATAATAAAGGAATTGGAGTTGTAAAGGATGAGTATAAGGCATTTGAATATTATCAAAAATCAGCCAAGATGGGTAATGCATCGGGAACATATAATGTGGGCAATTGTTATCAAAATGGAATTGGAGTTGAAAAGGATGAATACAAAGCATTTGAATATTATCAAAAATCAGCCGAGATGGGTAATTCATTGGGAGCATTTAATTCTGGCTATTGTTATCTCAATGCAATTGGAGCTGAAAAGGATGAATACAAGGCATTTGAATATTATCAAAAATCAGCCGAGATGGGTAATGCAGAGGGAACTTGGAGTGTTGGCAATTGCTATAAAAATGGAATTGGAGTTGAAAAAGATAAATATAAGGCATTTGAATATTATCTAAAATCAGCCGAGATGGGTAATTCATCGGGAATCTATAATGTTGGCTATTGTTATCTCAATGGAATTGGAGTTGAAAAGGATGAATATAAGGCATTTGAATATTATCAAAAATCAGCCGAGATGGGCGATGCATCGGGAATATATAGTGTTGGCAATTCTTATAATGAAGGAATTGGAGTTGAAAAGGACGAACATAAGGCATTTGAATATTATCGAAAATCATCTGAGATCGGATATTCGGATGGTTTGTATCGGGTTGGCTATTGTTATCAACATGGAATTGGAGTTGAAAGGGATGAAAATAAGGCATTTGAATATTCTCTTAAATCAGCCGAGATGGGTAATGCATCGGGAACATATAATGTTGGTCATTGTTATCGACATGGAGTTGGAGTTGAAAAGGATGAATATAAGGCATTAGAATATTTTAAAAAATCAGCAAAGATAGGTAGTGCATGGGGAGCATATAATGTTGGTAATTATTATGAAAATGGAATTGGAGTTGAAAAGGATGAATATAAGGCATTTGAATATTTTCAAATATCAGCCGAGATGGATGAGGTGAATTCAATGTTTGTGATTGCTGGATTTTATAAAAACGGAATTGGAGTCGCGCGGAACTTACAAATGGCTACGCATTGGTATCAAATGTAAGTAAATTATTTTAATTATATCATTATGGTTGCGATTAATTAACGACAATATGTAAACAATTAGGGAAAGAAATAAATTATTAGGTAAGTGTGAGGACATTACTATCTTTTATTTATTTATTTATTTATATAGAATCCAATAATTAATTACCGTATTTAGTTTTAAATAAATCGTTACATGAAAGCCCTGATATTGATGATGAATTTAAAGAAATGCTTGCTGAAAGTAATTATCCGTTACTCTGGATTCCTTACAAGGAATTTCAAAACATTGAGAAGAAAGGACAAGGAGGATTTGCAACTGTGTTTTTTGCTACCTGGAATGTTAGAACAGTTGCACTTAAATTACTTCACGGATCAAGAGATAATCGCAATGAATTTATAAAAGAGGTAAATTGTTTAATAATTTATAATCTATATTTTGAGTTTTCCTTAACTTTTTTTGCATTAAAGATAAAAGCATATTGCGATATTGGTCTTAAACATCCTACATTTTTAAAATGTTATGGAGTGTCTAGAGATGGCGTTTCTAAAGATTACATTCTTGTTATGAGTTATGCACCAATGGGTTCTTTGCATAAAAACATTCATTTATTAGCACAAGCTGAATGGAAAGAAAGGTTAAAATTGTTGATTTCTATTGCTTCTGATCTTCAAATAATTCATTCACAAAATTTTATTCACCGAGATTTACATAGTGGTAATATATTACTAGACAATTTATACAGTGCATACATTGCAGATTTGGGTCTTTCAATGTTGGTCAATACAGAATCCGAAGGAATTTATGGTGTTTTACCATATATAGCACCAGAAGTTTTACGTGGCAATCCGTGTACTTTAGCATCTGATATTTATTCATTTAGCATAATTATGTGGGAAATTTCTTCTGGAAAATCTGTTTCTTTTAACCAAGAATTCGAGATAAACTTTGCACTTCAATTATGTGATGGCCTTCGGCCAACTATTGTCAAAAATACACCACAATGTTATATAGATCTTATGAAAAGATGTTGGGATGGAAATCCGAATAATCGTCCACTTGCCGAAGAAATCTGCAGAACTTTTACAGAATGGCAAAATGATGAAAAATTTTTAACTGAATCGATAAAGTTTGATAAAGTAGTAGAAAATTTGGAAGATTTTCACGAACAAGAAATGATCTATACAAGCGAATTCATTCCTTACATTAAAGGTAAATAATAATATACATTGCTATTACTTTATCATATATTAATTTTAACGCTACTTATATATTGTTGGTGGGAAAGGGTCTATAGGAGATGACAGTATCAGATATCTCATGTATCGGGCCTAGGATGGACGCGTAACAAAATGTTGGAAGCTTAGTCGAAACTTAGCAATGATATCATTATCAAATGTCACCATAGATGTTTAAAAAACCCCTTCCTTAACTAAAATCATATAAAACTAGTACAGTAGTGTGTTTAGGATGCCAAATCCAGTAATATTTAATTAACATTTCCTTTCTAGTAACAACAGTTTAAGAGACCGCCTGAGAGTCGCGTAAGGACACAAGGCGAAGGCTGACAAGAGGAACCTGGATGGTTAATAAGAACAAGGTTTCTGCCAAATAAAATCTAACGACCCAAACAAGGTAGAATATTTCATTTACCTTGGCCGACAATATTATAGACGGTTGAATATTTAATTTACATATTAAATAATACAATACGTCTTAGAGCCTCTTTGTAAATAATTTTATAAACGTTTAATAATCGAACCTTAATTATATTCTAGGATGGAATTTCGTGGGAATTAATTACTTTTAAATCCTCGTCACTTAAATATCCGTTAAATCTGTTAATTTAGGAACTTTCATTTTTCAAAAATTTAACCGACATTTACAAATCGAATAAGTAGCCTTGATTTCAATAAGATTTACTAAGCTTAATATTTTTTGTTGTGTTATTATTACGTAAGGCCTACCAAGGATTCGCAATTGGAATGGATAGCGAGATTAACGATTAGTGTAACTATCAAAATGAAGTATCAAACAAAATACAGTAATAAACTTGGATAAATGATTTGAAAAAATATTAATAAAACTATACTTGCCAACTACAATAAATAATACAAATTATATAGAATTGTTTTAATAAAACAACTAATAAAATCAATACTAACTACCCAATAGCCAAATAAAAGCAATCAATTAAAAAATATTTGGATAGATGTCTAAGAAAACAGATATAATAAGCTATACTCAAGAACTAATTAGCACATTAGGTAAAATATAAAATAGTTTAAAGAAAATTTTTTAAATAAAATTACTCGCTTTCTAATATATATAGTTTATAAATCCATTGTATAAAACCAAATACAGTATAATGAAGTTTATACTCACTGACTTACAGTTTGATAGAATAAATTAAATATTTCGTAAAAAATAAATCTATAGAAATTACATTTGTGCCCTAATAACCAGGACTACTACAAAGTTTTTTACCGATACTATTAGTTTTTCAGCGTGACAAGGGATTCCATCACCACGAACTTATTTTTTCATGTATATATGTGATTTTCAACACCAGGCCACTATAAATTTACATATTATGCTGTAATCATTATTGCCGCTAGACAAATGCATTTTCTGTGGTGGAACTTTCACCGTTGTGACTCACTTCAATAGAGCATTTATGCATTTCATAATGATGTGAAGTTATTCGTCAGTGCTATTTCCGTCTACTGGGTAAACAGCAAACAAAGATATATGTCATCAGTATAGGATGCAAATGAGAAGGTCGGACATCAATACTGCAACAGCAAACCACGAACTGTAATTGATGGTCAGATAAAATTTACTGATTTATTGAGACACTTTAAAAAACTCATACTTTTATAAACATGTAAGTACATAAGGTTATATAAAATAGTGTAATTTTAAGATCCATGAAAATATTTGTTTGACTTTTCTAAGTTCAAAAATAGAATCAGTGTTGGGTATTGTAACGGTGATCGGCGAGTCGGTCGCTAATGAAAGCTAAGATTCGCACAACGTTTGTTAGGTAAGAATGGTATTTTATTAAGTGTGAGGCGGATTGGTAATGCCGAAAAAAAACTTAATTTCCTTTATTTAATTTCTTATATTCCTGCACACTTATTACATAATAAAAATGATAAATACAAATTAAGCAAAAGCTATAAAAATTTCATGACAAAGCAATTGTTATTTAAATTTCATGCTACTCTTATTACATACAGTAATTCTATTAATCGATTCCATGTAATGACTCAGTCACGTGGCAATTGTTGCGATTATGTCGCGATTCAACTTTCTTCTAACATTTTCCCTTTCTTCAGGCTCACGCTAGTTTTCTATCACGTTCATTGTATTTGATACTGCTGTTTTCTTTTCTATATCGTGAGAACTCAGAATTAGGTGTGAGGCATGTTACTTTTTCCCGTGTTACAGTATCCAGCTTTCATTTTTTTTGTTTTAAATAAAATATTAAGTCACAGTCATTTATGTGCAGTAAGCGGAAATTATCTTATGGGTTATTCTTGTGATTTTTATTTTCATACAGTAACCATAGAAATGTTTACTGAATTTTTGTGTGAATATAAAACACTCGACAAATTACGCGATCTAAACTATTTACCATACTTTTTCATTCTTATGGTTTATTATTTAATATTATTCTCGAGATCCATTTGGCATATCAAACATAAAAATATACTGTATTTTTATATTAGTCACTATGGGATATTGCCTTCTGTCTGGTTTAGCGACAATATATCAATATTCTATCCTATACTTGCGGGTATACTGCCTTCATGCTCTTATCAATATTCACCTAACAAACATATTTCATTAAACTATAATGTGCTATGTTCGTAACTGTCTCAAATTTTCTCTGATCGTGCGGGGTTTACGCAGCCAATTCTCAATGCCGAGTTTACTGACTCCCTTAAACCATGGTAATGCCATTCTCAACTTCAATGATGCGGGGTTTACCCAGCCATCTTCTACTCAAATTTAACGGTGTGGGTTTACACAGCTCGTTTCCAATAACCATCCTATTACTCTTATTCAAATGGTTTGGGTTTACACAGCTCGTTTCTAACAACCATCTTACTATCCAAATTTAAATCGTGTGGAGTCTGCACAGCTCATTTCAACAGTATAGTCGAGCAACGTATAGTGTTGAGTGGGCAGGAGGGAGGGGCCTCGAATAAGCCAAAAAATAATATTTTCGGGCCACAACAGAAAGAAAGCACAATCATCGTAATACTCTCACATAATTCTTAATATTGTTTACTAGCACATTACATCATTCACTGCGTTACATGATCTCTCGCGATAATCTAGCTCCCGTGACTTCATCTCAGTCACTAATAATAACCTAAATATATCTAATACAAAAATATATTTAGTTGTATATAGTATAGTATTAAAAGGTTATTGATGTTTTAACATTTACATCTTCTCTAAAATGCAATGATTGCACACCATCCGGACAAATTGTTTTCAGAATCTGTTGAACATGTAAGAAATTTAATCTCTCAATTAATCATTAAATATGCTTGATTTGGAATTTGATTTAGGCACCACTTGTCTTATGTAGCACTAAGCTGTCCTTTATGCTAATGCATATGGATATGAAAAAACCAAAATCAGTTTACTTTTAAAAGATTGACAGACCTTTTTTTATCAATTACAATTCATGAAAATTTTATTACAACAACAACAATATTCTGTCACATGTTATTATTATAAATTCATTTTGGAAGAAATTATCAATGTAGACATAAATGTATAATGATTGTAGAATACTAAATATGTAAAAATTGCATTCTGCTTAATCTTTTTGCCTTTATATTTGGTAACTAATATCAACTAAAACCTTTGAAATGTTTGTCAGAAAACTTATAAGTCACATTCCAATTAATTTTTTAAATTTCTAGATTGATAGTTTGTGTTAACCAAAGAATTATTTTAGAATATTTACTGGAAAGTACATATCAATTCTAGATTTCTATTCTGTCTATAACCATATAAGCCAAAGGTATAATTTGAAAAATTAAATTACAACATTGACATTTTTTTTAAATTTTGTTTATCTTCTTTATTCTTCAAAAAAATTATATGGTTTGACATGTTACTATTTTCATTATATAATTTTTTGAGATATTTTATAAACTATGTAGATAGCTAAATATAGATAAACTAGTATTAAATTTATTTATTATAAGAAATGTTTTTTCTTTTTCACAATATATTTTTATTAATAATTTACTAATAAAAAAATATAGTTTATTTATTAAAAAAATCAAATTAATCAAGAAAATTTTAAAAAATTAAAACTAGATGCCAAAATTTTAAAAAAATTATATAAATACTAACAAATAAATTTTAAAAAAAACATCAAAACAACAAATAAAGAAGAATAGAAATATATTACAATTGACAAAAAAGAAATTATAAACCAAATAGAACTTTATTATCAAAAAAAAATTAAAAAATTCATTAATAATTCAATTTGTTTGATAATCAATAAAAAAATAATTTAAATATTGTCGCGGGTCAGGGGTCTATCAGCAGTAACGACGAAATCCTAGACTTCGCGACACTTCGACAGGGGTATCTGTTA